CACACACACACACACACACATACAAACACATACACAACACAACACAATGCGAAACAAAACAACACGTACACCCTGGCGTGTACAAACACTAATAAACAAGCAAAATCATTCACCTTATCCTGACCAATGTTGAACTTGTCCACGAAATTCTGAACGAACCAGAGACCGATGGTGAAGTTCTGGGGCCAGATGCTGGCGCTCGCGTCAATCACGAATGCAATCTCTAATGGTAGATGTTCACAGTCTGGTGATGAGAGATGAGATGAGATGAGATGAGACGAGATTGCAAAGAGAGAGGGATGGGTTGAAACACAAAGCAGATGAAACTGGAGATGCATAGCATAAGGGAGGGGTCAATATGCGTCGTTAATACGTTTGGAATCAAGGAAGGTGTAAGCGTGTGGTTTTGTTTTGTTGTTTGTTTGTTTTTTTGTTGTTTTTTCAGATGTGATAGGGACATTTTTATGGTAGGGAGGTTTTGAATTTTGAAATTTGCAGGGATCTTTAATGGGTGCAACGTGCATACAGGATCTCCGAAATATGGGACCTCCAAAATTTGGCGTCCTTATCAGAGAAGACTTGGTGTTTGATATCTCACCCACATTATGATCACGGTTATGGGGGAAGAAGGAAACTGAGTTTGTTTTGGTTTAGTTTGTAAAACGATTTTTGTCTTTTTACTTAAAAAGAGAGAAGATTAAACGCAGAAGAACAAGAACAAGAAGAACAAAAACTTGGACATTCCAGCACAGACAAGGTTTGAACCTGGTACGTTGATATACATATTATTATAATGTGTGTCTAAGAATGTGTGACATTGTTCAAAGTTACCATCTGGACATGGCTTGGCTTGACGCCTGTCGAGGTTCCGGGCTTGAAGTGTCGCCACCTGGAGAGCAGGGTCAGGAGAGAGAACGCATTCACTGAGTTGTTGTTTTATAGACATAAGTCTTGTTTTGTTTTGTTTTTGTCGTTGTTTCTGTTGTTGTTGTTGTTGTTGTTGTTGTTGTTGTTGTTGTTGTTGTTGTTGTTGCTGTTGTTGTTGCTGTTGCTGTTGCTGCTGTTGTTGCTCTTTGTAGAGCCTGTGAGACTATAAATAATTTTAAAGCTACTTTTTAAACACAATGCAAGCTTCTTTGGGGAAAGAAAACATGAGAGGCACCGTGTTGAAATTAGGCATTCGTAAAAAAATAATGAAATTAAATAAACCGGTATTTGTTCTGGCCGTTGGAGATTGTGTGGTGGTTGGTGGGTCGAATTTTCGGTGTGGGGGGGGGGGGAGCGGGGGTTGTTGTTTTGTTTTGTTTAGTTTTTTGCTCAGCACCTTTTACGTCCATTTCTAGACACATTTCTCTATTGATGTTTTTGAAAAACGTTGATTAAATGCACTAAAAATAAATTTAAAAATGCATTTGTCTAGGACACTCTAGCTTTGAAAGTCATCACATTTAGGTTGCCATATTCTCGTTTATTTTACTTCTGACCCCCATTCCGTTTAATCACAAATATGTTTATATCTATTTGAGGTAAGCAAGACAAATAAACAAGCTTTGAGATGATACCAATAGCTGCATTTGCTATTTTTTTTTAAACAACTGATGAGCGCCTGATTCCTCTGCGTCGGCACACATACACATGTAAAGTGTCGTTGGGGGCAAAAAACATACATTTAAAAGAGAAAGGAAACGTCAGACAGCATTTTAAAACAAAGCTATAAAACCTCCCTTGCAGTCAGTGCTTGAAAAGTTCAGACTGCTACTGCCACACTGTTGACTACACAGCGAGCTTGTTCCTAAAAGTCCGAACCCATCATCATGAACTGAAACTAAGGAACAGTACGCCGAAAAAAGCCACACAAACGAGTAGATCTACGGACGCTCAAGAAACGCTAGCACTGATTACACGAATCTAAAGACAAGTTGCATAGTAGTGTTTCTGCAGCAATTATTCTCTCAAACGTACAGGAGACCCAAATATTCTAAATGTCCCTCAATCAACAGACAAGGCCAAAGACAGAATCCTACCAGGAGAAGTAATCGCAGCAGTTGCAGCTCTAAAACTAGGCAAAGAAGCACGAGTCGATAACATTAATGCAGAGCTGGTGAAAGCAGGAGGATACTCAGGTATAGACATGTTCTATCGTATCTGCAACAACATCTGGCATACAGGACTGTGGCCGAAACCTAGAACGCAATCGCTGGTGATCACACTTCCAAAGAAAGGCAACCTACAGCAATACCAAAACTACCGTACAATAAGAGTCACCAGTCATTGCGGCAAAGTAATGCTCCAAATAATCCTAAATAGGCTCAGACCACAGGCCCAGAAAATCATTGCAGAAGAATAAGCAGGCTTCAGTACAGCAGAACAATTTTTTAAACTTCAGAATGATAATGGAAAAACTACCTCCAACACAACCAGAAGTTTTATCATGAGTTCATCGATTTTAAAAAGGCTTTACACAGTGTCTGGTACAAAGCATTTTGGTCAACATTGAATC